TTTATTGCAATCTTGAGCTCCCAATTTTTAAAATTAAGCATTGTTAGTCGTCTATCATTAATATATCATCCAAAAAAATTAAATAGAAATTGCTAGCATATTTATGAGCGACATTTTTTGGTAGTTAATTAGAGTCTGTTTAGATATAAGTTAAAAATTACTTTTAATTTTTTTATTAAAAATAAAAAAAAAGTATTTTTTAGTAGAAAAATTCTTAAAAATATTTCTAAGCTCGTATTCAAATGGACACTTAATCACATTGTCTACTTAAGGAATAGTATTGATTTTTACTACATATATGTTGTGTTTATTTTTTATTTCAATTAAAATTTATAATTTATTAAAATAATTTAGTTTTTAATTTTTAACATTGTTATTTTTTTTATATGATTAACACTAACTAACTATAAATAGTATCACTTACAGAGATTTATTAATATTTTCTGTTAAATTTTAAGTAAAACGTTAATAATAGATTGAAATTACTTAATTTTAAAAATAAAAGAATCAAGTTTATAATAAAGATTTTCAAAAAATTAAAGTTACATATTACAAAAATTATAACAACTAAATGTAGATTTAAGTTGATAGGTAAATAATTCATGGTGGCCATCTTCTGTTAAAAAACGCTTACAGAAAATCAGAAGGTGCAGAAACTCGATGAATCAAAATCAACACAAATTTAGTTGAATTAAAATTTAAAAATGCGGTATAAATAAAAAAAATGACCTCCATCCAAAACCAATGATGACGTGAAAACACAAATGCAGTGAAATTAGAATTGAAAAATGAAATGTTGAAATAAGAAACCCAAATGGAATAAGATGCGTGGAGTGCAACCAAGAGCAAGAGGATTGCTATTGAATTCACAAGTCTCATTTTATAGTCAAAGTTCATAATTACAAGCCTAGCTTCAGTGGCTTAACAGAGCTAGACGACCTTACTTATGATCAACAACTTATTGACCCAAAGCAGCATTGAGTTTAGATTTCTATAACATGTCATAAAGGGATTAAATTGTAATTGACCACTATATTTAGTGAAATTCTCAATTAGCAATGGAAACTATTACTTTTATTTACAGTCATACATTCAGAGTTACTTAGATATATAATGTGTATAACATGTACAAAAGTGTGAAATACTACTATACAAATATAAACAGGATGTATATACAATAAATCCAATAAAATGTTGAATGTATAACTTAAGTGTTGGTTAAGCACAATTATGCAAATCTATTTAAAATGTTACCTAAATGCAATAAAAATCATCATCCACGTGATGGTCTCCACTCGCACGTCTCGACAAAACTTATCTTTGCTTTACTCTAATACAAGTATAATCATTATAGTTCCAAATCACATGAAAAACATTCAAAGGTAAACTTGTGAAAAGAAAGCAAGCATAGTGTCAACTTTAACATATAACTGTAATAATAAAAAAAATATTTCTAATCATTAACTCATCATAAAATTAATGATTTATATCTTTGAAAACAATGTCTTCATAAAATTCACAATCTTATATACTATGTATATATAATAATAAAGATAGACAATGGGAGACACAATTCTCCAAGATCAAAAAGTTTGAGGACATAAATTGTAAAATAAAAATCTATTTGATGACAAAATTTACTAAAATAAATAAAAGTTTGGAGGTACAAAATACAATTAAGCCTTCACCAAATATATCATGTCATTAAGTTAATTGACCTTAGATATATCACTTTAACACTTTAGTAATATTTTTGATATACAATTAATGGGTAGGCACAAATTGCTAAACTTAAAAATTTAAGGACATAATTCGTAAAACATAATTTTAGAGGTAAAATTCGTTAAAAAAATGAAAGTCTAAAAGTAAAAGTGCAATTAAATCTTAAAAAAATGTTTAAAATTTATTGGCTATGTTAGATTAAATTATTTTTAATTTAAATAGTTGGGTTTAACTGTTAAATTATTTTTTTTTGTTTGCTTCATAGTAAGGAAAGTATAATAATATAATAATTTATTTTTCCTCTCCTTTTCTTGTAAATCCAATAATAAAGGTATCTTATTTCTTCTATTCTCCATTAAAATCTTTATTTTTGTCTTTTCCAATTCTAAACCGAACTGTCTGTTCGTTATTGGCTTCAACATATGGTGCTACTAGTTTCTTTTTTGGTTCATCCCTGAAATATCTACCATCGATAGCAGTAGGATGGGATAGCTGGCCCCAAAATTTAACGCGGCTACATACACAAAGCAGGATTCGAACTTCTTACCTTGTTTAAGTGTGGATCAACCCCTACTGCTAAACCACACGCTTAGGATTATATGGTGCTACTAGTTTAAATATGGTTTCAAGCACATATCGAATCTTTTAGTTATTTACTAATGGACAAAAGATAAATAAATACATACATTGGAAACATTTTAAATTTAATTAACTGGGGAACTCTCCTTTTTTTTTTCTTTTTTTTTTTAAGGTATCCTCCCATAAAAGGTGCAATTTGAAGAGTCAAACGTCATACTCAAATACAAATACAAAATTTAATTTATTATTCCTATTTCTTACGATAACACAAGAATTCTTAGATTTTTTTTTACCAAAAAAGAAAATTCATTAAAAAAAGGATAAAGGCCCCTTGCAACACCTTTTATAGGATCTATATGAATAAATATCCTCTCACCCTATCAAAAAATGTGCAGAGTACTAGTTGAAACCCACATAGAAATTAAATAAAATGTCAAATAACTAAGACCATGTCATAAACATGATTTTTTTTGTCTCAATTTTTCTCTATCAAGAATACACATGTTCCTGTATTTCCATATACACCATATAGAATTGTGCTCCACCTCTCTATGACAGTTCTGAAGGACGATGTGGCTGGAATCTAATCAGAGTGTTTCTATACATCTTCAGGTAAAACTGTGTACACATTTAACCACAAACAACATTCTTTCTAGATAAGTGATAATTCTCACCCTAAATGGCTGAGTTATCAAATTAAATTTTCAACTCTCGCGTGCTGTTTGGTGAAACTCTTAACCTTCTCAACAATGGACCATACCACATTTTTGTTGTCTATTTATTTTAATAATATATCCAATAAGTAAAAATAATCTACATGGAGATTTTTTCCCTTTCACCTTAGAATTCATCTGCGTTAAGAAAAATTAAAACTTATGCTTTCATTCATATTCACAACCTTTAAATAAAAGAAATTAACAAGAAGAGGGATTTTTTTTTATTAGGGTAAAAAGAGGGATAGAATTATTTTTAGAGTATCTTTTGATATGTCTTTTTAACAACACTCTGTACAAATTAATTATTTTATTCGTCTAATTCTTATTTAGTATATTAAATCTCCAATTTTTTGTAAAATTTATTTTTTTAATGCTTCATTAAATAAATTTAATTTAATGTAAACTAATCATTATATATACAATGATTTTTGAAAGATACAATTTAAAAAAATGTTATTTTTGATCTATATTATTAATTTATCTATACTAATAATAAAGGAGATTATATACAATCACAATTGATAGTTTTTTTTTTAACGTTAGTATTACATACCAATATCCCATTCATCTAGAATTTATTATAAATGATTGTGAGATAATATCGAGACATTTTAAGATTGGATTAAAAAAAATGTATGTGTAATCATTTAAATAAAGTAGCTTAATTCTATTTCAATAGAAATGGTAGAAGTTTGTTTTGTTTTTTTATTTATTTATCAAGAATTCCGTTCCACTCAGGACTTGTTACTCGATCCTAAGTTTGTAGCAATCCATTCACTCCCATAATTCCTATAAATTATAGAATCTTATATCCTTTATAACAATTTTTTTTTTTTTACCATAGTCTCTAATAAATAATCCGGAAACATATTCTCAGGAAATTCAGGACACCAAGGATTAAAACTTATAAGGTACAAATTCGCTATTTTTTCAGATCAATCTGAATAACTTGGTTCTAGTTGTATTTTTCCTGTTTTAGAAAGAGAAACATTAATAGCTTCCATTTCTATGTCTAGCGATTGATGAGCTTTGTGTGGTCTACATATAGCAAAGTTGCCACTAATCAGATTTAGTGGAGAATTGTTGTTCCCACTATCGTAGCAATAACATTGATGACTGCAACATATTTTAGCTGATTTCTTTGATGAATATGATGACTTCCACTGCCTGCAACTGCAGCCTATGTGCAGCCACTAGGTTTTTTACTCTTACACTTACAAGAGAATATGGGGGGAAAAACATAAACTCTAGATGTCACATGAGAAATTATTAATCATTTGGAAAATTTGCACCTGATACAAGGTCAACCTTTCTTAGAATTTATGAGTATTGTCTAATGAGAGTCCCTCACTACTTTAATTTAAGTGACCAGTTTGTCTTTGTTTAACAGATCCCTTTTTCTGAGTTTGAAAAATTACATGTCTCTTTTCTTTTACTGAGTGGACCTGATTTCTTTAAATTAGAAGCTTTTTTGATTTGGTGATTATTGACTTATTACTCTAAAAATATCTTATCACTTTAAATTTACAATCCTATTATAATGTGAAATGTGAGACTTATTCATTAGTGCCTACCCTACGTTTTACAGATGTGAAATATCATGAGTTTTTTGCCCATTGTGTGTTACTTGTATGTGGAACTACCTATATACTGTTCACATATGCCTTTTGCATTTCCCACTAGCCTTTGACTTGGATTAATGTACAGGTTTTACTTCACCAACGTTTCTGTGTCATATTTCCACTTCCTTAATGTGCTCCATATTGACTTAAAATATAACTTTCATGTCCACCTAATAATTCTATGCACCCCAATATTGACTTTGGATTTTCACACACGAAAAGGCCACAAGCTGATAAAAGCTCTCCACAGAGAGAAAACACGTTCACCCAAGCAATGATGGGGTTGCTGTCACCTTTATGACTTTGCTCCTCCATAATCGATTTTCATGTTAAAAAAACATCCAGAAAAGATCTTGTGTGCATGTATAAATTGAGAGCTAGCATATGGGGAACAACACAACCTAGAGTTTGTTGTTGAGAAGTGCAATACAAGGATGGCAGGCACTCTCTTTCGTTTATTCGTGGTTCTTCTAGGGCTTTCTCATCTTATATGCTTGAAAGCAGTCCCAGTTACAAGTAAATTCTACTACCATATTTCTATTTTTTTTTATTCTGGTACAGTTATAAGTTCGGACAAAATTAACTTCGATCCAATTCCTTAGATATGGTTGATACTATTTCCTAATCAGAATTGAGATCTTATTTTGATAATATACATTTGCATTTAATGCATAATACTGAAATAAAACTCTAATTTTATTTAGAAAACAATATTAATCATATTTAAGAAATTACACTTAAGTTTTGTTCTGGTAGTTTTCCTTCATCTTCTTACTAATGGGTTGTTTATGCAAGCAGGGATTGAAAACCTTATGCTTGGACCCCAAGTTCAACTTACTCCGGAGAATAACCACAAGGTGCACTTTGATAGCTTAAGACAATTCCTTTGTTGCTTAAGACACGTAATGCATGTTTTTAACCATATACATCATGTCAACGAGCTTATGTTCCATTGATGCAAATACAGGTTATCACTGAGAGAAAGGAACCAACCGTTATTACTGAGAGGATGGAATTAGAACTCCACGACTATTCACCTTCAGGGCCTAATGGCCGTCACACTCCAAGAGCACCGTAGTGTGTGAAATGGTGTGCTGAATGATAGTTTCTCTAGGTAGCTAGCTAGTAGGCGTCCTCTATGTAATTCAATCTTATATAAGTAGACATAATCGGTGAATTCTAGAAGCGATTATGTATGATGAGAGAATCGACTGATTAGATTCAGACACTCATGTTTGTTAAGAATAAATAATACATGTACTTGCATTACAAAGGTATTTTACATTCTCATTCAATCACCACGGTTATGTAAGTTTAATCACTTTTATTATAATAATTATAGTAAAACTGATGAAAACAATGATTTCTGATTAATTAATAATGTAAAAACTTTTTATATTTATTGTATATGCATATTAAACTGATCATTTGTTAAATTATGCCTTATATCTATATATAAGAATCAAAATCACTATTATAAACCTAGTAGTAGAGAGTTGGAATAATATATTCAAAATCTACATAAGTTGTTGAATAGTTATTATAATTTTGACGGATAAAAAGTTATGTAAGCACCAGAATTTCAGTTATATTTTATTGACCAGTAGCATTACAGCTCATCTGTGCTCTAGTCATAAAAAATGATATTTCATCAGTTTTACTTTGAAAAAAATGGCTAGTAACAGAGTTATTCTGTTTGTCTAAAGGATTCTCACTGAAAGAATCCGTGTGGAAAACAAAAACCAACCACTAATGAACGTATGTAAAAAGTGTAACAGATAAATTTATTTTATTTTGGTAAAACCGCACTACATGCATGTATTTAAAGTAAGTCTCAGTCAGAAGCTGAGCAACGGATCGTTCATGGTGCCAAAACTCCTACACCCCAATATTAAGTTTTCGAATAAACAAAGGTTGATGGGAATAGTTGCTCATGAGTTGCTGATGCATTAAGCATTAAACCGACATATAGCCTTTCTTTTTTCTTTTGTCAAAAGTAAAAATATGGAGATTTAAAAGTGAAGGGCCATTTGTCCACCCAGAGCAAATTGATAGGGGTTAATTGCATAACCATGTTCTTGGAAAGTGAAATCGGAACTAATCCAAAATGTTTGTCTAATTTAAGTAATCACGCTAGTTGGCCACTAAGTACACTTGAAGATTGTCTCATAGCAAATTGAATGTCAATTTATTTTTTATTATCAGCGGAGAAAGTGATGTATTATTTGATAGGGACATACTTTTGTCTACAACTCCCCTATACACCTTTTCTCAAAAATATATCTGGAAAAGTCTAAGGCCAATATAATAACATTCATCATAGCATATGTAGTTAGTGGAATTCTTAGAAGCACACAAGATCAGAAACTTGTTTTTGTACAATGCACGTAAGTATGGAGATATGATTTTAATATACTTGAGCTATGCACAAAGTAATGCTAGCAGAAAATTAGAAGTTCACCGTTCAGGTGTCAGCCTATAACAGGACGTCGTACAGAAATCATATTCTAACGTATAGATACATAATCTTTTAGGAATAAAATACCATAGGGATTAATATATGCAAGGTCCACGTTATAGTTGTGTCTAGATTTCTCTAATTATAAACTGAGTGCTGTGTTTTTTATAATCCAGATACGTTTTTCGTCTAAAGAAAAAGCTAGCGGATTAATTTCCACAACTAAAAGTTTGCCAGCCTAGAACCTTTTGTCCTCAAAAGAGGTGCTCTTATATTTGCATGTTTTCAAACTAGGAGTGTCAAGTGAGAAACTAGAAAAGGAATGGGAAGCAAAGAAAAATAATATCCACTTTGGCACTGTGGAAGAGAGACAAAATGATAGATATAATAAGTATATGATGGTAAATGAAGAAAAAGAGAGAAAAAATGAGATGAAAAAGAAAAGGCCAAAAAGGAAATGGAAGAGAAATTGAGTGTGTGAATATAATTAATAGTTATCCTACACTTATGACATAAAGTAACACTGTCAACAACAGTCAAATTTTCCTTATTACTGATCAAGCCAGTGTCAGAGTTTCCTAGAACAATATTAACAAGATTTTGGAGACCTGCACTATTTGTTTATCCAATACATCTTTGGCAATCAGGATTTCTTCCCACTTAGTTAAGCTTCCGACTCCTGCTTTAATCTTAGAAAGTTTAGCTTTACTTTACTCTTTCAGTCTTTACAATTTTTCTATATATTCTCTTTCTTTGGCCCTTCTTTCAATTAGTAATAATATCTCACAGACAGACACAATCTTTTGCAAGGTAAAGCTTAATTTGGGTGTGTGGTAAACTAATCATGATTAACAGTTAGTTTCTGTGTATTGCAATCTCTTTTAGTGTCAAAGAAATTAATGTACGTGAAGGTAGTAGTAAGTTTTTACTTCTAAATGTACTGCTCAACTAATTAATGCTATCTGAGATCCTATTTACAAGTAATAAATTGAATTTTTCTTGTTTTAATTATAACCAACAATTAATAATTTCTAAAGTTTTTCAGAGATGAAAAAAATTATACTCTTAAATTATTTTTAATTATATTTTTTATACATTCTCTTATTCCTCATGCATTGAATTATGAATACTAATGTCAAATATAACAATCATTAAAGTAAAGAGTAGTTTGTGAATAAAATTTGAATCTGTTGTAAGATTAATTAAAAATAATCAATTTAATTATTTTTCTTGATTTTGATAATTTATCCTATATTATTTATAATTAGAACAAGAGACAACACTCTCTTTTGGGTGAAGAATTATGATATTTCATTCATATCAAAAGTTCAGGATTAACTCAGAACTCCTTGAATTCAGGTGCGTGACAAAATTAATTCAATCTTCAACTGTATTAATATATTGTACTTACTCTCTCACTATATATGTCATGCATGTAAATTCATTTTATTAAAGAAATCACCTGTCTACCGTTCTTTGATTAATAATGTTGAAGAAAGAGAGTTGATATTGATTCTTGAAGTTAAAAGATAAGAAATTTATGTTGAGGCAAAAAAGAATTAAATAGCTGCTATCATGCTGGCATCTGCGAATGGTGCAGTTCAACAAAAACAGTTTATAGAACCTGATCAAGATACCAATGTGGCTCTATTTGAAGAAAACAATACAGTATTACACACTTAACTGGTGGGGTACATGTGTGATGCAGAATGAAAGGAAATACCCAAAGTTTCTAACAAGAAAGTACGCATAATAGATTATTAAAGACACTAGTCTTGGAACATGAAGATACTTGCTTCAACAAGCAATTCAAGCATTAGGCAATGAAACATTGAATTATTAGTCTTCTGGAGATGGAGCAAAAGCAGGTGCTGGTGAAGGTGCACCCCCTTGATCAGCATTTAAAAGTCCAAATTTCTTGATGAGTTCATTTGCAATTAGTTCATTAGCACTGTCTGTGGGGTGGTACTCATCCCAAAACACATATTTACTTCTATCTTTGCACAAACTTGATGCAGGTACACATGTAAGGGCAGGTCGAATATTCCAAAAGGAACAACATGGCGAGTTTGAGTTTTGGAATCCTACAAAGAAAACGTAGTTACAATGTAAATAACTCTCACCAGTCAGCGTGCAAGCTAGCACAATTTTTAATTTTCCGATCATGTATGATATGTTGCCAATTCTTCTGAAAGTAACATCCTTGTGAAACCTTCAGAAGTTCCTAAGCATACTAAATCCAAATAATTTATAGATATTGGATGCACTGTGATTTGATACTTTTTAAGTGTTTCACATACACAATGTGTTAGGTTCATTTAGATAATTGCCAATGGTGTATGCATCCTGTTTGTGAGGAAATTAAAATATTTACTTACCATAATTATTTGGATTGCTAATCACATCATAAACAACATCATATGCATCTCCAAATCTATAGGTTGAATCAGGAAATTGCTTCGCCAATTCATCTACTAACTTGCTTGCAGCTTCATTGAAGGTAAGAGCCAGCTTGTTTGCCTTTTCTCGACAATTCCCAGTTGTAGTAAGCACCCTTTGAAGGGGAATGCAGCCCATTGGACCCAACCCAAAAACCACTAGTTGTTTTGCTCCTAAACTATGAAGTAGCTAAACACAAAAACAACATAATTGAAAAGGCTTTGTTTATTACTAGATGCAAAAAAGAAAAAAGTTGTGTTAGCATATAAACTAAATAAACCTTTAGTTGTCTTTGCAGTGTTCCTATCAAGTAGTCCATGAAGGTTCCATCATTGTATGTCCATGAATCACTGTAAACAGGCATCAAGTAGTTGTTGATGAAGTCATTGCTCCCTAAAGCAACAACATAACGAGCTTCCTGGAAAAACTTGGTTGCGGCCCTTTTACCAATTTTGGCTCTAATTAACTCTTGTGTCCCCTGGAATAGCTCAATTTGTTTGTCCAGGGAAAACTTTTGGATCTGCAAGAAACAAAATTTTCATATATGTTTGCATAAAGGCGACTATAAGACACAGTGTTTGAAACTTGACACTCACAAAATAGGCACCAGTTTCATTCAAGATACCGCCTCCACCTGAAGCATAGTTCACACCGTTTTCTAATATAACTTCTTCATTTACAGATGGGTCCAGGAATGCAGGAGGCCTAGGGAGGCCCATCTTGTCACCTGAAATTGTATAACATTATAGTGAAGCACCAGCATTTCTAAATATTAAATATCATGATAAACTCTAATTCAAATTTGTTCACACATTAACACCGTATGAATAACCTTAGAAGGTCAAAGCTTAATCTTTGATACAGCCATGTGGATTTGAAATCCTTTCATTTGGGGGGTAAGATTTGTATAACTTTTTACCATAATAGATGCTGTAACAAGTCCCACATCGGGAAGGTCTCCTCACCAAGGAGACTTTATAAGGCGGGAGGTTCTCTAACCTCTTGGGCCGGCTTTTGAGGGATGGTTCCCCTCCTTAGCCTTATGCTCGTTACAATGGTGCTTTCATTGAGAGCCAGCCAAATCGAGAAGGGCTACCCACGGAGGGTTCTGACCATCGGAGGGTTCTGACCGGCAAGGGCCGAGTGAAGTGCCGATGAGTGAAGTACCGTGGAGTGCAGCCATCGAGGACGCTGGCTTTCGAAGGGGGTGGTAATGTAACAAGTCCCACATCGGGGAGGTCTCCTTACCAGGGAGGCCTTATAAGGCGGGAGGTTCTCCAACCTCTTGGGCCGGCTTTTGAGGGATGGTTCCCCTCCTTAGCCTTATGCTCGTTACAGATGCTCTCTGAAAAGGGTTGTATTTTTTAGACACCCAACATTTTCAAACACTCAAGTGACACT